TCTCTACAATAAATCAAAAAATCAGCCGGGCATGGTAGCGCATGCCTATAATTCCGGCTACTTGGAAGGCTGAGGCGGAGGGATCGCCAGAACCCAGCAGGTTGAGGCTGTGGTGGCCAGGAGCGGCCACTGCATTCCAGTCTGGATGACAGAGTGAGACTCCAACTCAAAAACAACAACAACAACAACAAAAAAAACATCAGTAATGTGAATGAAAAGAAGGGATGGTTTTTAAACGTGTATTATGATTTTTAAAATTTTTGTTTTTATTTTTTGAGTCACTCTATTGCCTAGGCAAGAGTGCAGTGGCACACTCACAGCCACCACAGACTCGACCTCATGGGCTCAGGTGATCCTTCTGCCTCAGTTTCCCAAGTAGCTGGGACTACAGGCATGTGCCAGCCACCATGCCCAGCTAATTTTTCGATTTATTGTAGAGACGAGGTTTTGCCAAGTTGTCCAAGCTGGTCTCGAACCCCTGGGCTCAGTCAGTCCTCTCGCCTCTGCCTCCCAAAGTGCTGGGATTACAGGTGAGCCACTGTGCCTGGCCATGTATTATTATTATTTTTTGTTGACAAGTCATAATTATATACATCTTGGGGTACGGGGTAGTTAATTTTTATAGTAAGGCATATGTGATTATTTTGTGATGAAACTTAGAGAAGCTAAGTAACTTGTTCAGTGTTCCCTAATGAGTAGGATGCCTAGATCTTTAATTCACTTATTTTGGCTTCCAAAGCCCAAGCACTTACCACTTCCCATTTGGTTATTAAAACAGTATACCAGGTTTTACTATGGGTGACAAAGGATTCTAATGCTATTTGTTTATTATTCAATGAATTGAGTAGTGTACTAGGCCTCCAAGTGTACTATATTCTTACTTTTTGTTAGGTCTTGTCCTTCTCCCTAGAAATTTGTAATCTAATAGGGGAGATAGACATTGAGCAAGTATCACAAATGCGACGTGGGTTGGGGAGAAAATGACAGAATGCTGTAGAAGTGTGCTACTCCAGGCAATCTATCTTATTTGGGATGTGAGAACACTTTTAGGAAGTGATGTTTAAACTTTGCCCCCACTGCAATGATGGCATTTTTTAGGGTACTTTTGGATTAATCTTGAAAGCAATTACTCTCTGAGCAGCTATTGGAAAGTAAGTAAATAAATAAAACCTTGTCCAGAAGAATGATTAGGCTTCAGTTAGTTTGAAGGCACTGATTTGGAGTGTGGATGTGGGAGGAGGGATGGGTGAGCATTCCAGGATCCCATATACTAAGGTTCTTAAGCTGAAAGAGTGGAGTTGAAAAAAAACAACTACAACAAAAACCCAACAGAAATAGAATGTCTGGGCTGTAGAGGCTAGAAGAGAAGAGATAAGAGTTTGGTATTAGGATGGAGCTGTGTCCTAGCTCTTCCTTACTATTCATATAAATTTGGACAAGTTATTTAACATTAATAAATTTTGATTTCATCATCCTTAAAAGGGATAGTGGCATTTAACAAAATGTTTGTTCAATAAATTATTGAACATCTCTTACTAGCACTAATAGCTAGTAATTAAAGTGATAGCAGTGCAGATCACATGCCTTCATT